TATATTATATTATATTATATTATATATATATATATATATATATATATACAAATACTTTGATTAACTTATTAATTATTTTAATAATATAGACATAATGACAATTATATAATGTATCTGATATATATCATAACCTCTGGAAAGCTAATCTTTCTTTATATATTATCAAGATTTGAGGTTAATTATTATGTATGATTGCAATATGTAAAATTCGAAAGAGTTAGGAGAACACGAATATCCCGCGTATTGCAATAGACTACACATATTACTTGATATAAAATAAAAAATGCTATTAAACACAGTGATAAGAACAGTGTATTGAATATTATCAATTTCAAAACGGTCAATCGGGACGGTGATCAATCGGGATGGTGGTCAATCGAGACTGTGGTCAATCGGGACAATGATCAAACGGGATTGTGGCCAAAACGGGCTGTGATCAATCGGGACGGTGGTCAATCGGGACGGTGGTCAATCGGGACTGTGGTCAATCGGACGGTGGTCAATTGCAACGTGGTCAATATCAACGTGGTCAATCGCAACGTGACCAATCGCAACGTGGTCAATTGGGACGCTCCCATTCTATATATATATATATATTTGTATGTTTGTAATATGTGTGTGTGTGTGTGTGTGTGTGTGTGTGTGTGTGTGTGTGTGTGTGTGTGTGTGTGTGTGTGTGCGTGTGTGACTTAATATAATCTTAAAATATATTTCAGATAACACGGCTTGATGTTTAAAAGATTCAATTCTGTAAAACGTTTTTCCTTTTTCTTATAACACTAAATTTAGCTAAAGTAATCTAAATTGAAGTCAATGGCCAACAGCAATGTCAAGAAAATGATATGTAGATATACGTAATGTATTCACGTGAATATGTCCGAACACAGTGTATTAAACAAAAATCCATTTCGCTAGATCGAAAAAATTACTCGTACACTTTCTGTGAGAATGCCTTTATAAAATGCCTTTTAGACACGCGTGTTATTTGAAATATTCTAATAAAAGAAAAGCGCAAATGATTTACTTACATTTTTGGCGACGAAAGACTTCTCTCTACGAAGACACGCACACCTCGACATTTGACAGTCGATGAAGTGATGAAGCGATACACGTGGTCAGCCAACGATGCCAACGCGCGAAAAACTTGGCAGCCACGCACACTGAAGAAAAATCATGTGCGCTTAACGTCTTCGTTCCGACTGCCCGATAGAAGAACGATCTTCTATCTCATTTTTTCCAATTGCATAATGACTCGAACCTCCCTCTCTGTATCATATATCTATTATAATATATCTATTATGATGACAATGTTTTATATATAACAACAATAATATTCGTAGCAAATTCGTAGCAAAAAAAATAAAGATTAAATAAAGATATGTAATATAAAACAAATCGAGAATATGTTCAACAACTGAAAGAGACACGGATAATTCCCTCGGCAGGATCTAGATATCTAACAAC